AGCCCAGCACACGGGGGGGTTCTGGGCTCAAGCACACACTGAAGCTGGGTCAATGGGGAGCTTCTTATGAACCAGATGATGAGATGGGTAAGAGGAGTAGAAAAGGGTCAGGGGCTTTATGGTGTCCTCCTGGGTTTTCAGTGCTATGTGACAGTATCTGTGATAAACACTGGTGGTCCCCTCGTGTGGCATCAGGGATGCTTGGTGAGCAGGAAGAGGAGCAAGCCCAGACCCCGGAGCTGGGTCATGGCAGCAGGACTTGGGCTACTTGAAGTCTCAGGTGCCTCCAGAGGTGCAAGACCCCACAATACAGGGTTGTGCTTTGGGTCTGGCAGCTCTGCTCCAGTGATGGGATCTGCCTTGCTTGTTTTGTGCCATTTTCAGCTAATCCTTGTTTAAACCTCTGCAGGCCCTCGGGCTGGACCTTGGCACTCAGTAAACCCTGTCAGCAGGACATCAGCATGTCTTTATGTACGTGTCGTGCCAAGTGCCAGCCTCTATCTGTGTTGTGACAGACACTTGTGTCTGGTCCTGCTGAACAGGGATCACTCGGATAATTCCTAACAGAGCTCACCTGGAGCATTGTGTGCAGTTCTGGTGTCCTCAACATAAAAAGGACATGGAACTGTTGGAACAAGTCCAGAGAAGGGCCACGAGGACGATCAGGGGCTGGAGCACCTCCTGTATGAAGACAGGGTGAGAAAGTTGGGGCTCTTCAGCCTGGAGAAGAGAAGCTGCGTGGAGACCTCATAGCAGCCTTCCAGTGCCTGAAGGGGGCCTATAGGGATGCTGGAGAGGGACTCTTCATTAGGGACTGGAGTGATAGGACAAGGGGTAATGGGTTAAAACTTAAACAGGGGAAGTTTAGATTGGATATAAGGAAGAAATTCTTTACTGTGAGGGTGGTGAGGCACTGGAATGGGTTGCCCAGGGAGGTTGTGAATGCTCCATCCCTGGCAGTGTTCAAGACCAGGTTGGACGAAGCCTTGGGTGAGATGGTTTAGTGTGAGGTGTCCCTGGCCATGGCAGGAGGACTGGAACTGGATGATCTTAAGGTCCTTTCCAACCCTGACTATTCTGATTCTACGTTTGCAGACAAAAGGTGATGAACAGCACAAATAACAGCACAAAAGGTTGGTGTGCTCTGCAGCAATCCCGTTGCTGAGGATGGCTGGTGTTTTGTTGTGTCATTCTTGTGCCAGTGCCCACTCCTTGCCCTACTGAATGAAGAGCAAAATGTCTCTAATTCCTCCAAGCCCTGCCCAAGTGTGAAAACCTTTCCTGTACCAAGAGGCAATGATGTACATAAAGGATGCTACCCGCATCTCCAGAGGAGTGCGTTGGCTCAAGAGGGGTATATAAAGTACATTGGCATTTATTAGCTGAGCAGACAGTGAAGTCTTGGTAAGCTCTCATCATCCAGGAAGTCCCAGTCTGGAAACAAGTAAATAGACCCCACTCTCCAAAATCCATGAAGACTGTCCCTGGGAATCACTTTGATGACTAACTTCTGCAAAAGGCAACCAGACAAAGAACAGGAATAACACCATTTTAAAGGTGTTTTGCAACAAACAGCACCTATTCTCAATTCCTGAGGAAGGGCGAGTCTCCGGTGTGTTCTGGTACCTCTGGCTTCCTCTCCCTTTTGAAGTATTAGGCTAGGAGCTGATTTTAGGCAAGTTAAATTCTTAGTCAGAATGGTGGGGTTGCTCGTGGGGAAGATGGGATGCTTGCAGGCTAAACTCATGTGGTTTATGCTCTATAGATCATCTATTTAGATATTGCTTTTTGATTTTCCTCATGATGGATGATGCTCATCTCAGGATTGGGAATATTCCATTCTCCCCATTCTCTCTGCACTGGTCATAAGGGAGTCCTGGAAAATCCATTGTGCTCTTTGCTTTTTTAGGAGCCTTGTGGGAAAACCCCAAACATCGGATACATTCCCTGTGAGTCACTTGGCAGCAAGAGCAAAGCCGGGAGGAAGAAATGAGGGAAAGAGGGGAATCAGTGCATGGGGGTGACCTTGAGAGCTGACTCAGAATGTGCTATTTCAAGTGCTTCCAAAGAGCAAACCCTCAGCTGTTATCACCCGTTACTCCATGGCTGGGGCACGTGGCGTTTAAAAGCCCGTTCATGAAAGTCTGTTAATAAAGTTACTTACAAACTGCAGCCCGCACAGGTCACAAGCACCGAGATGTGCCTGACTGGCAACACGAGGACAAAGCAGGTCTGAGACTGCAAATCTACTCGGAGATAAGACATATTTACTTGAATGAATTCGCCTTCTTAAAGGCTGTGTGCACCAGAGACACCAGAACGCTGACTCTCCTCCCTTATGCACCACCCAGCCAGAAGATGCGCAGCTCCCAGGTACCCCTGAACCCCTTCCTTTCACCCTGCAAAGCCCCCCTGTACCAGCAAGAACAAAACTGCTCATCCCTAAATCTGTTGCTGATCTGGGCTAACCAGCTTCCTGTAGTATCAGCAAATACTTCTGCTTTTGTAAAGCCGTGCTTCCCTCTGTAACGGGGTGCCAGCGGGACCAGGAATTCTTTGGATCGAGGAATGTGCTGGTTGGCAGGAGGAACAAAGCAAGTGCTCACCCAGAAGGGCAAAACAGGACTAATGCTTTTGTCTGCTGGGCACAGAAGTCAAGCCAACATTTTCTTCTTGTCCTTAGAGAGGTGCCTTTGGATGCTGCTTTAAACAGCAAACATGGGTATCAATCATTAGTGAGGAACGTGTTCAGTAACAGCCGTGTGCTGGGTTGCATCCTCGTACCTTAGAGCAGCTCCAGTGCCTAAAGGGGCTCCAGGAAAGCTGGAGAGGAGCTTTGGACAAGGGCCTGTAGGGACAGGCCAAGGGGAATGGCTTTAACCTGCCTGAGGGGAGACTGAGATGAGCTCTTAGGCAGAAGCTCTTCCCTGTGAGGGTGCTGAGGCGCTGGCACAGGGTGCCCAGAGAAGCTGTGGCTGCCCCATCCCTGGCAGTGTTCAAGGGCAGGTTGGACACAGGGGCTTGGAGCAAGCTGCTCTAGTGGAAGGGGTCCCTGCCTGTGGCTGGGGTTGGAGCTGGAGGAGCTTTGAGGTCCCTTCCAACCCAAACCAGGGATTCTGTGATAGAAAACAGAATCTTCAAGCCTGAAGCACTTCTGTGGTTGCAGTCTCTCAACAGACCCTGCCCAGTGCCCCATAATGTCAGGCTCTCCCTTAACTTGACAGGGCAGCTGCTGTTCTTCCAAGGCTCTGGAAACAGGCCAGCTATGACATGTTCCTGAGATCAGTTAGCTGCAGGGCGTATTTCTTACTGCTGCCATAAGCAATTTGATAAAGCCTCCTTCCTCCCACTCCAGAGTTAACCCGCCCAGCTGTAGCCGAACACCTTAGCTGCAATAATACCGCATTCCTTAGGGATTGTGCCTATTTGCTTCGTTAAAATGTGCTTCAATCAGTTGTTTCATGAAAAGAAACACTTCTGTTGAATTTGTCGTGTTTGCTGAGCCAACATGAGTAATACTAGATCAGAGAATCCCAGGATGGTTTGTGTTGAAGGGACCTCAAAGCTCATGGAGCTCCAACCCCTGCCACGGGCAGGGACCCCTTCCACTAGAGCAGCTTGCTCCAAGCCCCTGTGTCCAACCTGGCCTTGAACTGAAGAAACCATGGATTTCCATTTGCACTGTTCTACTGTCCTTAGCTCCAGACCTACAGGAAAAGTTGACACTGTTGGGTTGGGTTTGGTTTCCCCCATTTGAGACCACTGGAGCCATCTAAGCATTTCCATGCTTGCTTATAACTTTACCTCAAGATCAAGTTTTTCCTTCAGACAACTACAGACACAGCATCGGCCTTATCTTACACCAAATGGCATGTGCATCTTCTATCCACCGTGTGCAGGGAGGTGGCAGGGGTTCAGGGGATCCCTTTCCATTTGTGTGTGGGAAGGTGGGACCTGTCACCTCCTTTGCCCTTTGAAAAAGCAGTCAAGGCAGCGCTAAGCCTGCTTTTAAATCCTAGAATCACCTAGGTTGGAAAAGCCCTTTCAGCTCCTCCAGTCCAACCCTTACCCCAGCAGTGCTGAGGCCACCTCTGCCCCATGGCACTGAGGCCTCGTCTCCACGGTGAGTGAACCCTTGCAGGGCCGGTGACTGCAGCCCTGCCCTGGGCAGCCTGTTCCAATGCCTGAGCACCCTCTGGGGCAGGAATTGTTCCTCAGCTCCATCTAAACCTGCCCTGGGGCAGCTTGAGGCCGGTTCCTCTTGTCCCATCCCTACGTCAGATGTTGAGCAGCATCTGTGAAGGGGCCACGGGCAGGTGCTGGTTGCGACTGCACTCACGGGAAGCAGAGGAGAAAACCCCACCATGTATTTAGCAGGGAGCCAATGCTGCAAGCGATCTCCTGCAGCACCAGATGTGGTTATCACGACTGTCTCGACACAAAGCTCTCAGTGCTGCTGGGGTCATGGCGGGTGACTCTGCCCTGCCCCAGCTCCCCACTACATGTGCAGGTCTGGTGGGTGTTCAGGTACCCACCTCCAGCTGCCTGTGCCAGGGGCTGCATTTGCTGCACCTGAGGAGGATGAGGATCCACCAGATCCTGGGATTTCCAGGAAGGCCCAAAGTGATCAACAAGGATGCTGTGAGGGCTGGAGCAGCTCTGCTCCGGAGCCAGGCTGAGAGAGCTGGGCTGGGTCAGCTGGAGAAGGCTCCTGAAGGGGAGACCTGAGAGCAGCTCCAGTGCCTGAAGGGGCTGCAGGAAAGCTTGAGAGGGGCTTGGGACAAGGGATGCAGGGGCAGGAGCTTTAAGGACCCTTCCAACCCAAACCAGGCTGGGGCTCTGTGATCCCCACATCGTGCCGGGGCAGATCAGCCCTGAAGGAGCAGGGATGGCGCTGAGCCGTGCACGCTGCTCGGACGGGGACAACCCCCGTGAGGGCCGGGCAGCCGCCATGGCGTGGGGGCCGTCCCCGCGCCGCTGCAGGCCGCGGCCATGTTGAGGGCGGGGAGCGCGGTGGGCGCGGAGGCGGCGCCGGGGGCCGCTGCGGGGCGCGGTGCCTCCCGCTCCTCGTCGCCCGCCGCCGCCGCCGCCGCTCCTCCTCGCCGCCTGCAGCCGCCGCCGCCTCCGGCGGCCGCCCCGCTCCATGGCGACCCCCAGCCCCTGCATCGTGGTGAGTGCGGCGGCCGCGGCCTCCCTCCCCCTGCTCCTCCGCGGGAAGCCGGCCCGCTGCACCGGGGCTCCGCATGAGCGGTGCCCGCAGCACTGCCGCTGCAGGGTCCCTCCTGCTCCCCTAAACCTGGCCATCCCCGAGGCATGGCGGCCCGGCCGGCGCGTCCCTCAGCGGCGGGAGCCGCGGCCCCGCCGAGTCACCTTGAGAGGATCCCGGCGCCGGGCCCGCGGCTCCTTCCCGAGGCTCTTTCCCTCTCCCGAGCGGGGCCGGGGCCGCCGCTGGGGCCGGGTGGAGGGGAGCAGCGAGGGCACGGCGGCGGGAGCCGGCTCGGCGGTGAAGGTGAAGGAACTTCCCGGCAGGTCGGAGCGCGGCGCGGCTCAACTTCCTATTCCTGTTGCTCTCCGCAGCGCGCTGGGAGGGAGCCGGGCTGCCCGTGGCTCCCTTAGGGGCTGGCGTTTGGGTGCGTGCCCGCAGGGAGAGCGTTTTCGTTGCGTTATTGCCCTGCGTGCTGCGGTTCTTGGGGGTTGTTTGGGTGTTTGACAAAGCCGGTGCCGACGTGTGGTGCCCGGTGGCTGAGGGCTGTGCATCCCTGCCGGCAGTGACAGACCTGCGGGAAGGGCCCCTTCCTTGCCGAATGCAGGGAGGAAAGTTTAGGAGACACGCTGGGTATAACGGTGGGTCTGGACCGCTGGGAAACGCCGTGTGTTTTGGGAGCTCCCAGCCCGCTCTGGACTGCAGGGACCCTGGTGAGGGGCTCGGTGCTTGGGGAGCTCAGAGAGAGCCTGTTTTGGATGGGAGGGTGAAGTAGACATGAAGTTCCCCATTAGGTGATCCACAGGCCCGTGTAAACAGGTCGCCGGGCAGGTAAGTGCTTCCTTAGGCACTGAAATGATTGTGCCCTGCAAGAGCAGCAGTAGCCAGAACGGGTGCTTAAAATGCCTGCCCTAGTGAACTGCCAGTGATGAGCTTCGGCTTTCCCTGTGGGATTCTCACCTTCGTTTTACATCGACTGGCATTCGGCTGCAAAACCAGAGTGAAGCAACTGAAAAACACATTGTCATTTTCAGGTTGTAGTAGGGTTAAGGCCATTCTTGATGCTGCATTTGGTATAATGACACGCAAACACTAATTCCTTGTCCTAATTACTGTGCGCTTGCTAATGTTGCAGGCTGTTTCCTACAGGGAATTTGCCCATGTGGAACAGGTTGCTGAAGGAGGGCTTGTATTTCAGATTCGGAAGGATCCTGAGCCTCCACAGTTTACACATGGTGGTCTGAGGACGCTTGTTTCACAGCAGCAGGACCTGGAGTGCTCCTGAAGCTGTTTTGTGTTCTGTTGTGGGGATTCGGACAACATCCATGTCTAAACCTCTGCTCGCTTACTTGCAGATGCAGGTTTTGTGTTACACTGGGAAAATCCAAGGTGCAGAAAGCTCCTTGGTTGTTTTTGAATGGATCATTTTTAAAGGAATCTAGCAGAACTGTGGGTTCTGTTAGGTTATGTTTTACACTGCGTTCAGTGCAGTGACAATTCCATAGGGAGGGAATTACAGTGATCCTGATGGGAGCAATGAGTTTGGTAGTTCATGAAAGGAGTTTCTCACCACAGACTTGCTGTAAGGCTTGGTAAAAATCTCACCTTGTTTCCGTTTCAGATTGGCGATGATGAGCAAGGTTACGACCTGGACTTGTTCTGCATACCTAAACATTATGCAGATGATCTGGAAAAAGTCTATATTCCTCATGGGCTCATCATGGACAGGTTGGTTTGACCTCACACAGCGCACTGCTCCAGCTGATTCCCTCATGCTGGAATAAACAATCTTCCAGGGATAGTTTTTGCTGCCTGGTGCCTGTCTAAATAGATTTCATTTAGAGACCAAGAAGTCCCAGTGCTGAGTAGCTGGTGTTTGGCTGGTTAAGAGTTTGTACATTTGCAGTTATGCTGTTGTTTGGAAATCTGACATGAAATTTTGGGGAATATTGCAATCTGTGGCTTTCTTTCCGGTGTTTCTTTGATCTTTTACCTCCTTAAAACCCAGTTAGACAACGTTGTGCCGGTTCAGTCTGAAAACAACCACAGCCTCTTGAGTTTCCATTGGATATTATTAAGAGAAAATTATTAATCACATCACCTTAGACTTTCTCATGTCTGTGTGGTAGATAAGTAATATCCACCTTCCCCCTGCCTTCTGGGATAGACATTGGCTCCTACAGGTATCAGCCTGTCACTCCTGTGGTTGCCAGAATGTATGATGTGCTGTGGAAGACCTTCCTGGAGATCTTGTGAACGGGAATGCATCTAGATCCTGTGTGGTCCTGGTTGATTAGATACAAACCTTCTTATAATTACTGCTTTTAAATACTATAAAAGCTTTATGCTGCAAGTCCATATAAAGGAAAAAATTGGACAAAGTACATGTTATTAAGTAATGGACTTAAAGCAATCGTAGGCTTTCTCTGGCACACAACAAATACATACTGTGCTTCTAAAAGAAATTACAGGATAAATTTAGAAACAGTGATTGCGGAGGAGCAGTGCAGTGTTCTCTTGCTCTGCTTCCTTGGTATTGTGTCTTGCAGAATGCCAGTGTCTTGCTGGTGTTCTGACTTGGCAAATACACTCTGTAGTTTACAGTTTGAGGGTTTCCTTGCTCCCCAGGATAGTGAGGGCTGCTGCCCTTTGGGTTGTGTTAGCTTATGCCGCTCTTTGCATGAAGCTGAACCTGTCTCTGGAAGGAGCAAACACATCTTCATGTCACATACCCAGCGTGAAACAGCTTCAGAGCGTTAAGTTTTGCCTTGGCTGAGTGTGATGTATGAAAGCAAAGGCATTTGGCAGCACTGCTGTTAGATTAACCTTGAAAAGCAGAACTTGTGTTGACCAGTAATGTGTAAAAGTAACCAAAGTGGTAGGCAATTATTGCTATGCACAACGTGTTTCCCAGTTTGCTGCTCTAAGTGAGCAGATGCAGGGTGTTGTGAGAGCTGACTCTCTCTTGGTTTTGTACAGGACGGAGAGACTGGCACGAGAAATTATGAAGGGCATGGGAGGACACCACATCGTGGCACTCTGCGTACTCAAAGGTGGCTATAAATTCTTTGCTGATTTATTAGACTACATCAAAGCACTGAACAGAAACAGTGACAAATCGATCCCCATGACTGTCGACTTCATTAGGTTGAAGAGTTATTGTGTAAGTATCTCTGCAGTGCTGTGCTGTTTCTATATGAATATGACTAACTTCAAATTACTAGCAGTCACGGTTTAATATTGTTACTGCCAGAATGTGCTAATATTAAATAATTAAGGGAATTAAGAGTCACAAGTTAATTTACTCTTTTTCTACTTTATTAGATAACCTGTTTTCTTTTGGACCTTTATCTCCGCAGCCCAGTAGAATCATGCAGGGCACAGAGACCCTTTCCATGGTCTTTACTTGTTAAACAGTTTCCTCTCCGTGCACTACTCCATCTCTAAAGCTCTGAATCTAGAATAACACAGAGATTTCTCCCACAATTACAGTTATAAAAACTTAATTCTAGGGATTTTTGTGTGGTTTAGACATCATTCATTGAACAAGAAGACTTGAAAGCTGCAAAAAACAGTTCTGCCACAGTTCCCCATCTCACCTTTTGTTTGGCTCAACCAAACAATGAACAAAATAAGCTGTATTTGTCCTTGAGGAAATAGTATATTCATAAATGTAGATTTATGATCGGTGGCTTGACCTTTTCAAGACTAGCCATAGGTTGCTTTGAGTTTGCATTTTTGGAGAAGGATTTGTTTTCATTCTGAGCACAAGGTTTTAACTTCATGGGGAAATGGAACTTTCTGTAACCTGAGGTCATGTGTGAGTTTTATAGGAGGAAGCACGAGGTTATGTTGGGCAGGTCAAAGGAAGAAGCAAGTGTATGTCGGTACTGTGTGCTTCCTGGCTTAGCAGCAGCCTGGACTCATGTTGAGGATGGTATTTATAGTTTGTTCCACCTGTGGCATGGAAATAATTCCATTTGATTTGTTTCTGTTTAGTGTTGGAATGAATTGTTTTATAAGGGTCTGCTGTGAGCTCTCTCTCAGCAGCCCTGCATTCAAGTCAGTGCTGTAGTTTATTTGCTGCAGTTGTAGATGAGTGCCTGTGCCAGTAGAAAAAAACAGAGATTACTAAATTGGAAACTCAGCTTCATCCTTCATTTCATTAAACTGTGCAACCAGAGAAGGAGTTATTGCTGACTGTTATTTGGACAGTTATTTGGACTGTCAGAGAACCTCATCGGTTCAGGACTGCTGTTGAGCTGTCTGCTAACATGTCATGGTGGAGCCCAGAACTGCGTGGGGCTTTGGGCTGGTCTGTTTGCAAGCCCAGCAGCCCTGGTGCCTGAGGCATGTACACTGCTGGGCCATGCAGGGCTTCCCTGGAGACCATGCTCATGTTGGTTGAGCACGAGGCAGCGATTTAGCTATGCTCTTTAATGAGAAGGCAAGGCTGGGCAGAAGGGTTCGTGCCAGCTTTGGTTGTATCTCACCAGGCACTCCCTGTGCTTCTGCACTGTATTTAAGTTGGAAGGGAACGCTTCCAATCACTTACTTAGCTTGTTTAAAAAGGCAACATAAAGACTGCACCCTTTCACTCTCTCTACTTGCTAACGTGGAAAAAACTAGTGGAGAAATGGCTTGAAACACCTGGAGAAAACCCTCCGTTAAAAAGCAAGGCTGCCTTATTACATGCATGTTCTTTTTGCTCATACTGGTGTGGGCATGCTTTGGTTAATTTCTTTACTGCTACTGTTAGCTGCTTTCCTCTATTACTCCACTACAGTGCCTTGATATCAATAGGGGACTGAGGGGCGAAATAAGTTTTAAGGAAATTAAAAGCCTGTTTTTGTAATAGAAAAGAATAGAGGAAAAGTGGAGGAATTTAGGCAGAAAGCTGTCTAAGCAGAATGTTTTCCTTGAGGTGTTGGCTTCCGGGTTTTGAGTTCTGTCAGCCAATTCTATAAAAGAATGTTTTCTTGTCCTAGATGAGTGAGGAGCTCCTGTTACCTATTGCCTCCACTACAGCATTTATGAGTATTTAATTTCTGTGGATTCTCTTAGGTGGTTATTAATATCCAGACATATGTCCTTAGATTGCATAACTTGATAGACCAGGTAAAATTGTCCTAACACGAGCTGTATGTAACAGATTGACTGGGTCTTCCATCATTAATAGAGTCCAAATGCTGTATCTGCTCTGTCGTTCTTAATCTGTGCTTTACTAGATGGAAGCATCTATGTTTAATGAGGAGAAAACCATCACAAACTGCCATGGACAGTTGAAAGTGAAGCTAGCTCGTTGTTGCTGTCTTTGGATGTGGTTACTAGATCACATTGCCTGCCTTTACACACTGGATAAAAGATGTTAAAAATACCCTGGGCACATAAACAAAGCAGCTGAACTTCTGTAACGGTTCTGAAATGGGTATAATTGAGGTTCTATTCTTGTTTCAAAGTGATCATTTAATATTTACAAGCATATGGGTTTTTTTTGTGTTGCATTGCAAAGTTCCTACTGGTCTGCACCCAAAAATAATTCTCTCAGAATACTGACGTGAGCAAGCTGTGATTAAACTTTGCTCGGAACTCCAGCTTTTCCAAGCCCTTACAGATGAATTCTGATGATCTGGCAAGCTGTTAAGAAAGGGGAAGATGGTGGTTGTGAACAGCCCCAGAGCTTGGTATCCCTGACAAACAGTCAGTTTTGTTTGTGCTGCAGGAAGAATGGCTTTTCCCCAGTCTCCTGTGTTTCAGCTTGGAAATGAGCAAACGTTGCTTATGTAGTCATGAAGGGCAGTCAAAAGACGAGGGATGTGTTGCTCTGTCACTTGGGGAAATAGGGTTTGCCAGTGGAGGACATGCTAAACTCTGGTCAGGCTGATCACAGTGGGTTCCTGAGAGATCTCGGGTAATCAAGCCTTGGAGCAAATGCCATAAGGATCCTACAGTGCCTTTTTAAAAGGTGAACTTGGAATCGCTTGAGTCAGGAGTTACAGTCTTGGTAAGCATTATTGTTTTCCCGTTGTGACAAGGGGGGAGGCAGTGAAAAGAGATTCAAACATAAAACTCTGATGTGTTAAACCACAGAGCATTAAAGCTTTACCAGTCCTGACATCAGAAATAATGCACCTGAAGGTAATTGAAACACTGCTTAATCATTAAAGAAAGTTCTTTCCAGTGGAAATTTGGTTGCAACCAGTGTCAGGAATTCTTTAACTGATTTGTTTTATCCTTTCATTGCTCAGGAACTCAGCCCCTGCATAGGAATGGAGGTTTATGTGCTAATGCAGATTTATGTTGCTGTTAGAAGTGTAGCAATTGGTATGGTTTGTGGTGGGAAGGAGCAGGAAAGGTTTTGATGGTTAGGTTGGTTTTCCTCTGCTCATCATCATACTTCGGCATGCCTAAGCCAAAGGTTTACAGTAACCTGCAGTTCTGTGATGTCTTGTTTGAGCATAGTGTGTTGCTTTGTAGCCAGACACATTATCAGGAACCTGATCCTGTGCATTTGTTGAGGAGTACGAGTCATCTCTGCCCATAAATTAATGGAAAACTACCTGTCATATCTGCTGTATTGTTATTTTGTAAGGAATGATGATTTTTTTACATGCTTCCATGGAAGGAGAATGAAATCCCTGTTAGCGTAGGAATAGATAAGAGAGAATCCTGTAACATAAGGCAAAGCTTAAAGAAGATAATGTTAAGATAGGGTGAACACAGGAAATGTCCTTTAGCTTTATGAGTACAGTGCTCAACTAAATCACGTTTGTGGTCGACGCAGGCAGTATCTCAGGCATTCAGTAGCAGTGCGTGTATCTGCTAGGTCAAGCAGCACCATCTGGGACGTCTTTGTTTTGGGACTTTCTCAGTGCAGTGAGGTTGCTGCTGTTCAGTTGAGTTATTGTTTGCATTGTTACAGAAGCACTGACAGTGCTTGTCAAAGTCTTTAATCTGAAATACCACCTTTTAATTTCACTTGCAGTTTCTTAGCTAGTAGACGCTTTTGGTGCCGTTTCTTGCAAGCATTAACATTCGCTGGTTATGTACTTTGCAGGTTTGATATTTACTGGAATAAAAACCCCAATTACTTTAATTCTGGTAATGCTAATGCTCACCCTTTTCTTTCTTAGAATGATCAGTCAACTGGAGATATAAAAGTCATTGGTGGAGATGACCTCTCAACCTTGACTGGAAAGGTATGGCTCTTTGTTTAAATCCAAACCAAGCCACAAGAATGCACGTACCTGCATGGTGTTTTAAGGCTGCTCTTTTACTGTGTGAAGAAAACAGAGTTAAATGAAAACTAATGAGTTTCATTTAAATATTTGCCACTGTATATAGGGGAGTGGATAAGCCCCACCACAGCTGTGAGTTTAGTCTGAACCTAACTAAACCCCATTCAGCATCAGCAAAGTTTTATGAGATTTTTCTGCAATGCCTTTAGAAGAATGCTCTTGTGGGGGTTGTTGTCTGCAAACTGCCTTTAAAAGACAGCAGCTTTATTTATTTGCTGTAGTGGTGTTTCACTGAAACAGGGAGGGGAATTCATGTTGTTAAGATGTGTAATCTGCAGCCCAGGGTACCAACGGAGACTCCTGTTACAGTCAGTGAGAAGGAAATGGGAGAATGTAAACTGGGAATCTGCTGTTCTCCAGTGACTCCGTGGAGATCACTGAGCCAGATATCTGGGGTTAAAGCATCACTGCCTCCTGCTCAGTCAGAATATGTTACCTTACCCTTCTCCTTACACATGTGATGTCTAAGGCAGGTATGTCACAGTTCAACATAAAGGATGTAGGTAACAACAGACACGTACATGTCTCTAGTGTGACATTCTGCTTTAGAGGAATACGAATGGTGTAGACTCTGTTTTATCTCATTTGCATATGTTTAGAATTCTCAAAGTCTGAATAATTTAAAGACCATTTTGTGCTCAGCATGAGACGTTGAGGAGAATCTCATTGCCAGCTAATGGTTATTGGAGCATCAGATTTGTTAACTACATAGAATTCACTGTTACGTGTGTAAACCAACGTAAGTGATGGTGGTACAACTATTTAAGTGCAATTAAAATTAGTAAGTTCGAGATTAATATATATAAAGAATTGTATATTCTCTGAATGTTAATGGAGTTTTCTTATTTCTCTTTTTCCTCCCACCAGAATGTTTTGATCGTAGAAGTAAGTATCATGTTCTCATGTGTGGCTGCGAAAAGAGTTCTAATTGAAGTTGTTCTTAAGCCAGAAAACCTACAGTTTCTGGTTTCAAGGCTTCTAGCTTCTGATTCCAGGCCTGAATTTTGCAAGTGGGCTCTGAATTTGCCATTATTCGTGCTTTGAATGTTCCAGTTGCATTCAACTGCTAAATTTAGCAAGGAAAATATCCATGTAAAATTGTTCACATTTGCTTTCAGTTTTCTGGGATTCTGGCAATTCTAAACTGCCTTTTGTTGTTTAGTTTTAGAAAGTAGCCTGATCAGGTGGTGTTAAAGCATGTTATTGTTCTGTGTTTATAAAGCAGCAAGCTAGAAATTAAACTGCAAGGCTAGAAAGATGTTCCTTGAAGGAATATCCTAAAATACATGAGAAACACGTCTGAGCCCAATGTCCCTGTGTGTAGCTTGTTTAGACAATGGTGCCACAGAGAACAGTAATTCTCCGTGAGCATCTTGCAGTGGCTAAATTCCTATTCCTCTGTTTTGTCATGGTGCTTTGGGTGATACCAGGTACAGTACACCTCAGTTTGGTTGCCTAGTTGCTTAATTCTTGCTCTCATACCTCTCTCTTGATGGGCAGAGTTACTTATATGGCTTTGACAGGGCTGTTCTGCAGTAAGATTGCCAATTTCAGGATAGGGAAGCAGCAAATGTGGATGTACAGCCTAATAATGTCTTCATGCCCCAAATAATGGAAATGGCTTGTTTGTAAGCAAAGAAACAGCTATGGCAACTGCTTCAGCAGCCAAAAGGAAGGATGTTTCCTCTCATACAATGTGGTTTTAAGGACGTTTTGTTGTTGGGGTTTTCTTTGAGAAGGTTATATTATTCCACAGGAAGCACAGTCAGTTCCAAAACTCCTACCAAAATAGTATGTATACAGCAGTCATCTCTGTGAGCACTGGTGTCCTTTGAAGTATATTTTGCTTCAGATAGGCAGATGCATTTAATTACATATCCTCTCAATTGCAGATGAATGTATGTCTTTAAAGCTCCAGACAGTTAACTAGGTTAGTTTCTCATGTCTTCAGTGAATCATTACCCCATGACTTGTCTCAGACACTGTCAAATACGAACCCTTTACAGATCACTGTTTTACCTGTCAAACAATACAAATGCACATTTATTGGGGGTTTAATATCTTATGCTCCAGAGCACCAGGCTTTCCTAGATTTCAACCCTTTAATGTGCAAAAGAAGCTGATCAAAATGGAGATTCACCTCCAGTGTACAGATAATCGCATGACAAATGCCCAGTAATAAGCTCTGTTTTACAGTGTGGAAGTAGCTACATCTGTTTATTCCCCACCTTCTGTTTTTATCTGTGTATCTGTATGCCTTTAACTTCTCTTGAGTTTATAACCCTGATTGAAAGCATTACTTGTGAAAGGTGGTATGGCTGCTTTGTTTGATATTTTAATTGGGAGTCATGGGAAAACAAGCTGAAACCAGGACATTGCTGCTTCTGTGTTATCTGCCTCCTTCACTTCAAACAGCCTTGATTCCAGGCCAGGGTATGGACTGTTCCTCTAAAGACAGTGTTATTATTTCAGTCCAGATGAGGAGTCCGTTTCTGATCCTCACTTGTAAGCCATATACTCTGTTTTTCTGCCTATCTGTGCAGTGGATGGGATAAAAGCAGTGTGTGTGTCAGAATCCCTTTTTAGCGCGTTTGAGTGTAGACTTCAGAACTGCACCCAGATATTGCCAGTGCAATTTCTCCAGCTGTTTCTTGGATCTGGGGTGTAAATTGCACTCCTTTTTCTTTCATTGCAATAACGGGTTGTTCTGCTTGTTTTCCCTTTGCTGTAACTGAGCTCAGCACAAGACTAATGTTACTCTTATCATGTTCAAATTAAACATTGTTTGTCTAATAGCTGCAAGGAGCACAAGCCATAAAATCTCCAAAAGGAGCCAAGAATGTCATAGTTCAGTAACTGCTTTCAAAGTCACAGTTATCCCCAATTAAGAACTATTGTTAATGTGTGTGATCACTTGACTGAGCATAGTTGCATAAGCACAGCGTGGTGTTACGTGTCACATATATTTGATCGCAGATAGGGTTTTGGCATATTTGGATGCTGTTGGGGATGACCAGTTTCTGTGATAGGAACTTGAAAATGCTTCTCTGACGTGGTTACTATTCTTTCTTATGTGAGGTTTTTTTATTCTCAGGATATAATTGATACTGGTAAAACAATGAAGACATTGCTGTCTCTACTTAAGCAATACAATCCAAAGATGGTGAAGGTAGCCAGGTAAGTTTTCCGTGATGATTGTTTGTGCTGTATTTCACATTAAGAAGGACACACAGTGTTTAAGGAAAAGACTGCATAATACATTTCCATGGGGGAGAAAAGGGTGGGAACACTTCTGCAGGAGTCCTATATGATATGGTCTGTTGAAGTTCAGTATATGAACTCCAAAAGCATTTCTGCTTATTATGAGAAGATATGTTTAAGGCTGGCCCTTTCCAGTCTTGCTGCTGGAGGAATTTCAGTGCTTCAGAAGGGAATAGCTTGTGTATGCCTGCTATGTGGAATCATAGAATGATTTGTGTTGGGAGGGACCTTAAAGCTCATCCAGTTCCAACCCACTGCCACAGGCAAGGACACCTTCCACTAGAGCAGGTTGGTCCAAGCCCTGTCCAGCCTGGCCTACAAAATGCCATGTCTTTCCTTATATTATGGTGAGATTTGGGGGATTTTACCACTTAAGCCCACATTAGGTTTAGAAAGATATGGAAGAATTTGAATCTTTTGTACTTAAAAATGCCCTCTGGAGTTGGTAAAGTTATTTTCAACACACATTTAGTTCATAAGTGTGGCCCTTTACTAGAAAAGGAGGTAAAAAAATCAGTGGTTGTCACTCCCATATATGCAATACCTATTCAGACATACTTGTTTCTGCTTGTGGTGTCCCTGTGCGATAGAAACCTTTTTTAGTTTGCCTTTAATGGTAGAATTAAATCAGTTTGCACACTTAACAGCATTGTTTGTGTAGTGTGCATGGGGCAGCTGAGCTTTAGAGGTCATTCTGTGACAGTCACCCAGCCATATGCTCTTCCAGGCTTTCCGATGTACTTGGATCCATTAGTTTTGAAGCAGTTTGTAATTAAATAACGTGCAAAGAACATGAAATGTTGAGGATAAAATTAGGTTATTGACCAATGTCAACATTCTTCCTACTTCCTTTTTAAAACTGCATCTTTTGCACTACTATGCTGTGGGTGTGCATTTCACAAGAAAAGCATAGTGAGTGCTGGGGATTAGAGATAAAGCAGAGCTGTGAGTGATATCTAATCAGTTGTGTTGCCATAACAATGTCAAAGCAGTCATTAGACAAGGAGAACAGCTCTTCCTGCTGATAATCTGGAGGTGACCTGCTGAAGGTGAGGTGCTTGAGGGTTTCTCTCTGGCTGGATTAGGTGTGCCAAACTTTAAGTGTTTGTCACTGACGAGTGCCCTCACACTGCAGCGTACAGCATGAATATAGGTAGTATGAGCAGAGTCCAGTTTCCTGTTGTTTGAACCTCTTGCAGCAATTTGGGTCTGTTCAAGACCTGAGCAGGCAAACGTGATCATTCTAGATAGTTCTGAGTGTAATGTTCTCAGTCACTTCACTTGCCTCTCTTTTTCTTTTTCCCCTCCTCCTCCTTGGCAATTAAGCAGCTGTAGCAGGGAGATGTGAATTAATGCTGATGTGATTTGGGGGTTTCTTTGCTCCAATCTGAGACCAATTCTCATGACTAGAAGTTTCAGAACTGTTTAAAATGGAAACTGACTCTGACACCTTCAGGGGTGAGCCGGGAGAGAAGGAGCTCCGTGCTTAATGCACAAAGCTAAGATGACCTCTGTTTCTGCTCATCTATTGGCCACCTTTTCTTTTCCTCCTAAAGCCTCTGTATCTCACAGACAGACAGATGTCAGGCTTGGGGGGTCCTCTTCTGAGGGTTGGAAGTGCTCAACTGAATAAAGAGCAAATCAGACTAAACTAGCAAGGCATTTCTCTCTGCTCCAGTACCCCCAGCTCTGTATCTCCATGCTTTTTACACCTCTGACTTAATTCTGGAAGGACCATCAGAATCAATTACATTTTCTTCATGGAGTTAGTAGTACTGACAGTAAAAAGCAGGTGAGGACTTACTGCACCGGTGCACTGCACTGAAGCAGCTGAACTTTTGTTTTGTAATACTGATGCCTTTGAAAAGAGCTCAGTTGCTCTGGCAAGATCCCAAGTTGTCACCTCCTTAGCTCTAAGATAAATTGCACCTGAAGTTCCTAACACCCTTTTCACAATGACAATCCATCCAGCTCCATATCTCCTGGCCCCTTTCTCGCAGACCTGTTAGTTACCCTTTAGGCTGTGAACCTTTTGTGCTTTGAGAAAGTTTTGCTTTTGTCCTTAGGATTTGTTGCACCTGCAAATAACAGCTTGAAATATGTGTAGTGGTGGTTTCCTTTCTGCCTACAAAGCCCCAGATTCGGCTTGCTTGTCATCAAAATGGATGTGGTTCTTTTCTGTTTCAGTTTTATATTGGTTTTCTTTGACAGTTTGTTGGTAAAAAGAACTCCTCGAAGCGTGGGATATCGGCCAGACTGTAAGTGACCTTTTGACAACCATTACTCATTTTTAAGCAGATGTCAATGTATTGTGTACCCTTTTGCTCTTACTTTGACAGAATTAATCTGGATTTGATCTCATGCTTTTTATTTTTCCTTCCCCTTAACTTTCTGTGACATTTTACTGTATGAAAAGCAAACTTTGGTATTTTGGTCTGAGTTACACCCTTTTCATGGGTAAATCCTCCCAGCTCGGTTGTAGTCAAATTGCTTTGGTCAGCAGAACCTGCTGGATACGCCTTTGACACTTGGAAGTGATTTGAGTGCCTACACCTAGTTACCTCATGCTGTTTGGGTGTCCCCAGTGATGTAGGAGGACCACGTGGGGTAGCAGGTCTGATAAAGGTTTACTGTGATAAGATGCCTAAATTGGCAGAAACCAGGTTATGTCTGGCCATCTGAATTACTCTCTTCTTGTCTTCTCCTGTCTGTCCCAAGGCCATAAAGAAAGGAACAGGATCCACAGCAGTGATACCAGAGTGACAGCTCCTTGGGAAGGGCTTTGTGTTGTAACCCTGTTCCAGAGGCTAAATTCCTGTTAATCTGAACCACGTACTTTCACTGCGGGAGTGGAGTGAATTTAGCAGCAGAATCACATCCTCTTCCTCCTTCTTTCCCGGGTTGTAAGATACTCTGGAGCTGAAGATTTTCAGTGCCTTAAAGCTTGACTGAGGTGCTCCCCTCAGTCAAGGATGCCCCTCATTGCTGAGATCTTATTATTGGCTTAGCTGGGTTAATGGTCTGCTTCTGAGCATCTTGCAGCAGCTGCCTTATTTTGCCATCTGTGCACAGAGGCAACCTGTTCAGTGCAGGACATGGGAGCTCTGAAAGAAGAGACGACAAGGCTGGGCCTCTGTGTTGTGAGGCCAAGCAGACAGTAAACATCACCTTCATGTTTCCGCAAGTGCACACAGCCTTTTCTTTGACCTGTACAATTCATCTCTGTTTTCCTTATAGAGGAAAGCACACGGCTTCCCTGTGCTGAGGAGCCTTTCAGAACAACCCAAACTACCTGTTTCTGTAACCTGCGAGTGACTCCATAGAGAGCAGAGTGCTCTTTGCTCTTTACTATTTATACCAGGGATCTAAGATGTGCTTTAGCAGTCATAGTATATTCCTACATGTCAGGCCATTGCCTGCAAGTTGCAAGAGCAGCCTCCATGCAGGCAGTTCCCGAAGGGTGAAGGGTTGGTTTCCCTGCAGTTACTCTGGGTTTGATACTCACATTATCCCATGCTCCCTCTCCCAGCCTTTCACAGAAAGTCCTATTGGACTTGAGCATCCTTAGTTTTGAAGGAGCTGACGGCTGAACCTTCCTTTTCATCATGCCTGCGGGTACCTCTCGTGCACCATGCTGCTGTGTGGGAGCCAATAAATGCCTCCATTTAATTTTGCTTTAGTTGTTAAACTAAATCAGCAAAGTCAATTAGACTTTTAAAAGAGCTCAAATGTTAACTGAGGGTACTTGAGTGGAAGAAATGAAATGAGTGGGGATGCTTATATCTCTATAGCATTCCACACTGCCTCTGTTAAAAAGGTTCAGTGAACTCTAGGAAGTGCTTTTCTAACATGATGGTGCCTTATGGTCTTTTTCAGTTGTTGGCTTTGAAGTGCCAGACAAATTTGTTGTGGGATACGCCCTCGATTACAATGAATACTTCAGAGATTTGAACGTAAGTCATTTCTTCTGTATGTTTTTGTGCATTCAAAAGCGGGGAGGAGGAAGGAAGGGAACGCTCCTCACATCACCCTCCCTTCTCCCTAAATCGTGCCTCTTGTGCAAACGTTCCATTGGGGATGCAGCGATGAGAGCAAATCCTGGAGCAGCACGAGAGTGTTTTGGAGCTCTTAGGAAACCAGAAGCTGTTTTGCTGCACGCAGAATTGAGGCGACCCATCTCCTGTGAGCTCTGAAATAAGTCTGTGGAAGTTTCTGAGGTTACCCGGTGTCTACAGCAAATAAACGCATTGGTTTGGTTATGTTAGACCTTGGATGTTAAAAGGGGTTCAGCTTCAATTCTAAGTCATTAGTTCTTCATCTGGGTCTCACTCAGCAGACTTTGGGTGGGACAGTGAGGGGGAGGAGAAAAAAGGCAATGTTGAGATTTTTAGGCAAAAAAAGGCTCTGTGTTCTGCATAAGCAGCATCACAAGTGGCTTTTGCACTGAAACGTGTAGCGTGCTTGTGCTCCTCTCAGAAGCACGTTACTGAAAATGCATGTGAACCACTGGTCTCTTACATGACTTTTCTGACTTTGTTTTCTTTCAGCACATCTGTGTGATCAGCGAGACGGGGAAGCAGAAGTACAAGGCATGAAAGCACAGTTGGAGTGCTGTGTGTGGCAACAGAGCTTTCACAGGTTTTGTTTACCGAGTCCCATCTTTCACAGGCTTCAACTCTGGAACACCAGCTAAACTCGTAGAATGCCCCCATTGTCCTGTGCTTGCTATAATTTATTGCATGTACAATATAAGAGCTCGTCTTGTTCATTTGTATCTTAGAGATGGAAACAACTAGTGCAGTTCTGCACTCCTGATTTTGATTTGCACTATGACTCTACCGACTATTGCTGCCCCTGGTTGGGTTGTGCTGTTTGTGAGCTCCAGAGTCTAACTCTTGCAGTGGTAAATTGCTTAAACCTCATCAACCCAGAACTGAAATAGTTCCAAGTACTGTAAATGTCAAACATTTTATGATAGGGAAGTCTATGAGTAATATTTTTAAAAGCTGTAATTTAAGTTTTATATTTTAATGCACAAAATGTGATTAATGGATCGTTGCACCTTTGGGTGTTAGAAAGCATGAGGAGCAGCCAGTTACAGTATCTGTACTCTCCAAGGAGCTCGCTCAGATCTCCTGGAGTTGCCTTACTGCTGTAAAGGAAAGCCTGGGTGAAAAATGTCCTTTTGGTTTTGTAGTTTTCTTCCTTTTTTAAGGAGCTGGAGTGACAAAGCAGAATGTTTAAGTTCTCAGTCTAGTGGAGCTGCCTGTTTCTGTTAGAGGTTTCTTTTGTCTTTCCAAATATCCATCAGTCAGTGGAATTGCCTTTGAAATTTAAACGATTTTAATATATTTGTGGGGAAAAAAAAAAGGTATTGTAATGTTTTACTTTCTAAGATCTGCAAAACAAAGTACTTTAAATAAAGGCTGTCTCTTTAAAATAAGCCCCATCCATCGATGCCCCTCATTCTGTGTATTAAAGTGCTCTGACATTTTCCTCTCAGTGAGGTTTTTCCTGAGTGTTTCTGTCAGTGGAGGCAAACTCTGCGTAGAGCCTTTGGGTGTTGTTGTCCTGTCTATAAGAGAGATGATAAAAGTGCTGGGGGAAAACACTGAAACACTTGCATGTTCCGTAACCAGACTGGATGTCAGAGATGGTTTAAGCACTGTCCTTCAGAGTGGAGATTATGTGGTCATGAAACACACACACACATGTAAAAAATCCAAATACAACCATTTTCTAAGTCCCTGTGGCAGGGGGTTGGAACTGGATGAGCTTAAATGTCCCTTTCAACCCACACCAGGCTGGGATTCTGTGATTCGGGTTTGTTTCATTAACACCTCTGTGCTCAGTTTCAGTTCTCAGTGTGGCAGCCCATCTTCCACTGTATGCTCAGATTTAACACTCCTCAGTGCTCAGTACACAATGAAGGTTTGGCCAGCTTGTTCTGAAGGCTTTTTTTTCTGTGGTTTTGAAGTTTGAGTCATGTTTCTGTACTTTGACTGTTGTCCATCCATGGTGTGCTCCATTACGTCCGTAGTAGTTAGCAGCAGCCCTAAAATACTGGTCTTGGTTAAGATGCTGACACAAATGCTGTGATTTGGGAAAGGGCAGGGAGGTTGAATGAGTCAGAACAAGGGGTTTATCTCCCAAACCAGAGCTGGAGTGGGGAAATCACAGCGCTTCAGGGGGTTGGAACTGCAGGGACATGTGGGGTAGTCACAAAGGTTTGGGAAGATGCTGTTGAGCTGCGCTGAGCCCAGCTCTGCCTCCTGACACCCCTCGCCTGGAGCAGATGGAGCAGGTTCAGGTTTAGAAACACCAGCTTTATTGAACGTTCCCACATTCCAAACACCGGGGAACAGGCACTTGGGTTTGGTTGTGTTTCTTCATGGAGGTGTTTGCCCAATGAAGTTTATCAGCCCAGAGGGATTCCTCCTTCAAAGGCGTTTGTTGCTCTATGAAAATGGTTCAGAGGAGAAGGTAACCGCTCTCCAGCCTCGCTGGACCAGCTCGAACACTGCAGCCATTCACAGCACCCACACGAAGGGGAAGTCTCACTTGACCAAAGCTGAAAATGCAGATGGTACTTTTATTGAGACATTTTGGGTAAAAGGCTGGGGTTTTAGTCACAACTTTGCAAGTTAAATGCCAACTTTCTGCAAGCCAGACGTGTATTGTTCAAGCATTATGAAAGCACAGAGAAGATCTTGTATTTGAACATTGATGTGGCATTTGAATTTCATTCTAGCTCCGTGTTTTATGAATCACAAATGCACGCTGGAAAAATGGGATTGGCTATTTGTAGGCACTGCTGCGCTGTCTCGCCCTCCGACATCTGCCTGCCTTGTACTACAGATGGGTGGCTCTGCTTTGTGGTGTCTCGCTGCTCAGAACCAAAGTGCTCCAGGCAGAGCTGGGAGATGGGCTGAGAAGTCTTCATGTGAACAGAGCTGGCACTTCGCTTGTGGTGGGGTGAATCCCAGTTGGAAAAGCGAGGGAAATGGGGGTCTTTAAGCTGCCCTGCGGGTGTATATCCTGAGTGATTCCATATTGGTGCTTCAGTGTGTGTAATGCTCTCCTTTCCAGGATGATCAGCACGGAGGAGCTAGCACTGCTTCGAGGGAGCTGGATGCTCATGATCCACACAGGTTGTCTGTGGTGTCTGCTGCCTTTAGTTCCCATTCAGGTTGCACCTCACAAGATCAGATCTCAACTGTCTGCAAGTACTTGGGCAAGCAAATGAGACATCACAGCAGCTGGGCTTCTTTCTTGTAGTAGTGAAGGACTTTGATGTATTGAATTTCACGAGCAGATGTTGTTTGATGACTGTTCTGATGGGGAAATTGCCCTGCAGAGTTGCCAGTGCCCAGCAAGGTCACAGTGACCGCAGCCACCATAGGGAAGAGGGCTGGAAAAATGCAAAGCTTCAGCACCATGGAAGAGCCAGCAGTGAGGATCCTCATCCCAAGGGCTGCCGGGACAAGGATCGTGCCAGTGCCAGCCAGGTAGTGAAAGGCTGGGGGAGCATGGACCTGCCTCGGTGCATGGATCATTCCCACACCTTCCTGCTGCCAAGGGGATCCTGGAGCTGCTGTCACCAAGCACTGATGGGGCTGAGCAATGTCTTTTTCCATTCACTTCCACAGGAGGCTCTGGAGCTGCTGTGCCGGGGGGGTCCCCAGCCAAGTCAACACCATCCTCTGGCTGGGGACCATTACTCAGGTCACCTCCAGTGTGGGGCTCTGGGCTTGGGCACTTGCTCTCTGAAGGAGCAGAGATGTCGACAGGGCAGTGAGGAGCTGTGATGGCATCTCTCTGCCTGCGGTGATCTCCTCATTTGTACCTCGTGGGTCATTCCCAGGTACGGACACGTGGACCCCGCTGGAGCAGCAGCTCTTTGACGAAGCGTTTTGCCAATACAAGAACAATTTCCACCAGCTGCAGAAGGAGGTAAAGCCACTGGATGGACCTGTTGTATGTGTGTGCCTTCAGGGTTCGCCTCCAGCATCGCCCTTGCAGATTGCTTCTGGTTTGCTCACAAGAGATTCCAGCTAAGACTGTCTGAATGCACTGAATGCTATTACACATTTAAGAAGATCCAGTTCGGCTGCAACCGATTTCCACTGATGGGAGGGAAGACCAAGAGGCTGCTGCAGCAGGTGGAGGAGGCTGAAGAGAAGGTGCTCAGTTATTCCCCACTTGCGACTTTGGGACAGGAAAGGGCGACTCCGCTCCCAGCACTCCCAGTCATCCCAGGTTTCTGCCACGTGCCCGTCCTCACCATCCCATTAAAGCACTTTTGGGCTCATCGGTGTTCAGGGGAGCTCACTGGGGCAGGCTCAGGCTGACAGTTGGCCTTTGTGCTGGATGTAACACATTCCCCCGGGCCCGGGCCCTTCCCAGACATTTTAAGCTCTTTTTTCCCTTCCGCTCTCCTCCACCTTTTGGGAAGAGGAGGAAGCAGAAGGAACAAGGCAATAAACTCTCTGGTTTACAGACCCTTGGCAGCCCCGCGTTCTGCCACACTGGAACCTAACAGCAGAGCAGCAGAACCGGCGCCAGGCTCCAGAGCAGCCCCGTGGCGGCGGTGACGGGAGTGGACTCCCCTGCCCTGAGTGCCAAAGGGACTTGGATTGAGCTGCACCTTTACAGCCAGCTTCCACCCCAGCCATGGGCTTTGTTTAAACACCGACCTGCCCAAACCCTCCCAGATCAGAAACTCGGGAGCTTGGCTTGAGGGAGGTGCTGGAATTGTCAGGAGGAATCACAAATCCCCGCGTGTTTTCTGACTTCAGGGCGTTCAACAGCACTCGGGGCAGGACCTGCCATACAAAGAGCCATTGCAGCCAGCCGGAGCATCCAGTGGGACTGAGCTCCTCCAGCACAGCTGTGACACCACCAGAGTGCAGCAGCCCCGCTGCAGTTTGAGGTCCCCCCCATCGTTATTCCCCTTCTTCTCATTGATGATACTTTCACTGTTCTTCCTGTTCCCAGCACTACATTATCCTTTAGGCGTTGCTATTGTCAGTAGTATTCCATTGTTATCAGTAGCGCTAGGATTCCAGTAGACATCAGCAGGCAGTAGTTCCATTGTTAAACCTTGGATACCATTATCGTTACTAGTATTAGGTTGCCCTCCAGTTATTATTATTCCCTTGTACATTATTGATGACTATTGGCGTTATCAGCACTGTGCCACTGTACTTCACCCATTAAACTGCTCCTCTTGAGCTTCCTGTTCTTCCCATTCTCATGGGGGACAGGGGCTGCGCGAGAGGCAGGGCCTGCCAGTGGCACTGACACTGAATTCCCCTACCCCTGCAGCCATGCCTTGCACCATTCCCTGCTTCCATCCTGTCCCTGAGCACCAAAACCAGTGTCCCGGTGCTCCCTAGGGCAAAAATCCCCCCCCAGGACAACCTCTTTCCAGGGGGGATCCGGGATGCGCTCACACTGGTCAAAGTTGAGTAAAACCCCTCCTGTGAAGCAATGAAGCACAGTCCCAGCTGCCCCCAGAAGGGTTCTCATTTGTCTTTAGGGGGTTCCCAATTACCTCCAGTATTCTCCAAGGACTCAGGGGGCTCCCAGTTACTCCCATTTGCCCCCACGGTCTCTCAAGGGGCTCCCAGTTACCCTCAGAAAGGCTCTCATTACCTGTAAGGGGTTCCCAGTTACACCCAGAGGCTCTCCATGGTTTCCCATTGCTCCCAGTTGCCCCACAAAGGTCCTGGGTTGCCCTCAGGGGTTCCCAATATCCCCCAGGGCCTCCCTCGGTGCCTCCACAAGGCTCTGGGATGCTCCCCATCACCCCCAGGGGCTCCCCAGTGGTCCCAGCCCTCTCCAGGGGACCTCAGAGGGTTCAGATCCCACCCTCCCAGTGCTCCCAGTGCCCACCAGGCCAGGCTGCACAGGGGCATTGCACACAAGGAGGTGACCATGGCACTGATGGAGAGCAGCTGCTGCCATGGGGCTGCTCGGGCTTACAGTGCTGGCCCCACATCCCCCCTCAGCTTCACCAGTGCCCCCATGGCACAAGGATCAGCGCAGGGCTCTGCACTGCCCTGGGCAGCCTGTTCCAATGCCTGAGCACCCTCTGGGGCAGGAATTGTTCCTCAGCTCCATCTAAACCTGCCCTGGTGCAGCTTGAGGCCGGTTCCTCTTGTCCCATCCCTTGTTCCTTGGGAGCAGAGCCCAGCCCCTCCTGGCTCCATCCTCCTGTCAGGCAGTTGTAGGGAGCCATCAGGTCCCCCCTGAGCCTTCTCTTCTCCAGCCTGAACCCCCCAGGTCCCTCAGCCCTTCCCCATCACACTTGGGCTCCAGGCCCTGCACCAGCTCCGCTGCCCTGCTCTGGCCCCACTCCAGCACCTCAGATGGGACAAGCTCAGGGCAGCCCCACGGCAGTGCTCAGCCCCACACTGCATCCAGCCCTGCCTGGGGAAGAGGCTGCACCCTTGCAATGAGCCGCTGGGCTCCACAGAGTAACCTTAGGACTTACCAAGGAGGCTTTGAAACCCTCAACACCATGGGGCTGGAATGCAGAACTGAAATCCTGGCTCCTAAAAGGTGGCTGTAGGTACTAAAAGACAGGCTTGGAGCCTGAAAATGAGGACTTTTTTGGCCCTGGAAATGGGGATTTACACCTAAAAATGGGTCTTTGGGTGGTCAAAACGAGGCTTTAGACTTGAAGAAAACCAGGCTTCGAATCCTCCATGAGTAGTCTGCATCCTAAAAAGAGGGTTTGGAGCATCAAAAGGAGTCTTTCAACCCCAGAATCAGAGCTTTAGACCCTAAAAACGAGGCTTTGGGACATTCAAGAGACCCCTCAGATGCTCCAGGCCCTCCAAACTCTTCCCATCACAGCGCCCAGCATCACCCATTGCCTCCACAGGCACCCCCCAGCTCCCTCCCCACAGATGCAGAAGAGCCAAACCCCCCCCCCACCCGCTGGGCTATGGGGCAGGCACCAGCACAGGGGTGTGGGGTGCACCCCTCTCCCCACGAACAACACGGAGCCCGCGGTGGTTCCTGCCTCCGCAGTGATTTATTGGGGTGGGAGCCGAGAGCCCCCCCCCCCCCGGCACAGCAGCAGAGCCCGGCTCCTGCAGCAGGGACCGATTTCCAGCCTCACTAAAGCAGCAATGCAATACTGGAGAGCAGCAGGCAATCCCCAACTCCAGTATTTCCGTGCTGCTAGAGCACTGCTGACAGCTGTCCATCGCCACGGCCCCCAAACCCCCAAACCTATCTCCCCCCCCCCAAAACCACAGGGCAAGAGTACCTGGGCTGATCCTTTGCTGGGGAAAGCAAGAGGTGAGGCACCAGCTGAAGGCACCCTCCCAACGTTGGTTGTGCCCACGCTGGAGGACAAAAATGAGCCTTGAGTGCTCCCTGCCTGCGGGGCCAGCCCCGCTGAGACACGCACGGCCACCCGAGCTCATAGGGAACGTATTTGGAGCTGCAGAGGATGCGCACAGACACAAGCACCAAGAGAGCTGATCTACACGTACCTGTTCAACCCAACTAAAGAGATACATGGGAACGTGTTAGCTCCCACCTCTATGATAACCAGAAGCTCACTTTCTTGTCTTATCCTTGAGGTAATGAGGCAGCCCAGAATGGTCTGTATCTCCTTGTCCCTACAAACCATGATGTGCTGCTACATCTCCTCAAAGCCCACTGAATGTTGACATTCCAAATGGTATTTTGGATTTACATATACATATATATATGTGTGTGTGTATGTATTTTGAAACCATGATATAAGGCACTGAAGAACACTCTACAATGAAGACATTGAACGTGCATGCATTACCACCACAGGACTTTGGTTTTTCTTCACGGGTGCTATCAGAAAGTCTGTAACTAGAAGAGAACAAGCAGTTACACAGGGAAAACGGTGTCAGAAACAAAGCCAGCAATTAACTGTCCCCCCCTCACCCCTTAAGCATCCTTAATATGTGGGTCCATCCAGCAGATCTGCTGCTTTTGCTGCTGTAAGGAGCCTGGTCTTTCCAAATGCTCTATGGGGAAACGTTACCTTATGCTTTCCTCTTAGGGGCTGCTGAACATCAAGGATGTTTCCAGAAGTCCCAGCGTTAACATGTCAGATAAATCAATCCAGGTTCCAACAGTTCAAACCTGTTCGGTTTGCCTGAAAATATTCTTTTTCTGAGAAATGGAAGAAATAAACCCCCTTTTTTTTAAAGAAAAAAAAGACCAATTATGCTCATTTAGTGTCTGAATGAATAAACCCAACGTGACTGGATACTAAAGACACCCCGGAGCTCCATCACCTCCTCTGCCTGTACCAGTGACCTCCAGCGTGGGGCAGGGCAGAGGCTACCGGAGGCACTTGGCTGCGCAGGAGCCATGCAGGCAGCCCGGCATCTCCTGTGCTTCCTTTCCCCTTTGCGGTACAACTTCCTTCACTTCATTCTCTGCAGCAGCAGCATCACAAGAGCCCTGGACAATGCCAGAGATGACACCGCCGGTTCTAAGGCCGGTGTTGTCCCCTCGCACTGAACACGCTGCGGGTCGGTCCCTGCCTCTGCACCGAACTCCAACACAGGATTCCAAACTCTCCTGACCCAAATCACTGCAGATCTTAAATCCAGCGTTTGCTACATAACCCCCAGCAGTTTTTCACCACTTCAGCATCCTCAATACCGAGAGCACCGGCTCCAACTCCCAGCAAACAACCACAGAACCAACAAGTACCCAGAGAAAGTTAAAGTTAAAGCTAAAACTAAAACCTGAAACCAAACAAACCCCTGTAATTACCATGGGTATTTCTGTAACATTTTACTTGACTCTACCTCTGCACTTCTTTCTTTCATCTCTTCCAGTGACTCAAAAAGAAAGCCATCGTGAACAACCAGTCTCAGCTCTGGAATCCATTCTGTGTTTGAGGTTCATGTTTTAATTGATGGTTTTATATGTATATATAAAAAAAACCCTATCTTTATCGTAGTTTGAGACGGGAGCAAGCAGGACTTTGCAAAGTGAAGGCTCAATACACCTCCATCAGCCTATTCTCTAGTGCAAAAGGAAAATCAATGTTCACACCCGTATGAAGACAGGCTGAGAAAGTTGGGGCTGTTCAGCCTGGAGAAGAGAAGCTGCGTGGAGACCTCAGAGCAGCTTCCAGTATCTGAAGGGGGCCTATAGGGATGCTGGGGAGGGACTCTTCATTAGGGACTGTAGTGACAGGACAAGGGGTAATGGGTTAAAACTGAAACAGGGGAAGTTTAGATTGGATATAAGGAGGAAATTCTTTCCTGTGAGGGTGGTGAGGCACTGGAATGGGTTGCCCAGGGAGGTTGTGAATGCTCCATCCCTGGTGGTGTTCAAGGCCAGCTTGGACAGAGCCTTGGGTGCCATGGTTTAGTGTGAGGTGTCCCTGCCCATGGCAGGGGGGTTGGAACTGGATGATCTTAAGGTCCTTTCCAACCCTGACTATTCTATGACCCTATTGGACAAGTGGAAATCTGGGATGGGCAGTGAAACACGTATCTGAGATACGTACGTGTGTGCTTAGGACATGAGAGCATAATTATGTTCAGTGCTAGAAAGTTCTGTGTTTGAATCATCCCATCTGACACTGCAGCTCCTTCCAAATCCCTCTGGATTCTCAATGTGAAATTGGGAAGACAGCGGCTGAACAGAGTGCTCTGAGCTCATCTCGACCTCTCTGAGGTGTTCCCAGCAGTGCCCCAGGAACGTTTCACGGGAACCTGTCTTTATTTATCCAGAGGGATGCTCCTGCATTTCAGAGCAGGTTGGACACGTGAACTTACCTTCCCAACTCACCTGGGGATGCTGGCACATCGGCTCCTCCTGCACTGGCCCTCCCTGGACACAAGGCAATCGCCGACTCAACAAGAACTAGAAAGCAACACAGAGAAGGGTTTATGAGGTGCAGCATCCCCTCCCGGGGCACACGCAGACCACAAAGACTCAGATGGGCACAAATAGTATTAAAATTAGGGGGAAAAAAAAAACAACAAATAATCAAGTTTTCACCTCTGGAGAGGGCAGACTACGAAGCAGCACTTACAAAGCAGTGCTTAAGAGCAACTGCATCCCTCCTCTCCCTCTGCTCCCCACTCCTGCAGCTGGGGCCACACGCAGCACTGCCACCAGGAGTGTGACTTGGGGCAGTGGTACCCAAGGCACAATGGTCACCAAACCATAACCCAGCGAGGAGGAACAGCACAGGTCCCACCAGCCAAAACCAGTGGCAGCTCTGGCGGTGAGTGGGAAGCTGCTAGGCACAAGGACAGCCAGCATCAAGCCCACCTCCCCTCCTGAAGGGGTTTAAACCAGCAGCAGTAGAACAACCTATTGGTCTTACAGAAACATCTTACGGATGTGCTAACCAGTGCCTGGGACAAGCAGGTAAGACGCAGAGAGGCTATTCAGGGCTTGGGGTTTCGTGATGGCACTGCTGGGTGCTCAGCCACTCGCTGCCAGGGGGAGGCAGCACCCAAAGAGCACCCCGCCAGCCATGAACAGGGGTGTCCTGCCGTGCTGGGTAGCCCCAAACATGAAGAGAGCTGCCCCAAAAGCTCCCCCTCAATGCAAAAGCACGGCGACAGCTCCCCTGCTGCCCCCAGCTCCGGTGTAACACCAGCTATTTCTAGGAATCGAGACTCCTACCTGTCATCCGCACAAGCCAACCACCTCCAGAGGTTTAATTAAATCCCCCGAAGAACTGGGGAACTGGAACATGCAGAAACCCATTTCTGCAGCTCCCAGAACAATGCGGCTTCGGCTTGCCAAAGTATATTGGGCAATTAAGTAACCCCCCCCTTCCCACCCCAAGCCCAAAGCCGTGCTAAGAACTAAACCAAAGTCACCCTGAAAGAGGGGGGTCCCTTAAAACCGGGGCTCTCCTCACTGCCACTGGCACCAGAAATGGGAAGGAAAGGGGGAAAAAGAAGTGTGAGAGAGAGCGCCATGGGAAAGGGAAGGAAATAAAGACAGGAGCCAGTGAGAGGGCCGATTTGCATACAGAGCTTTCACTTACTTAGCAGGGCTAAGCCCAGAGACAAGTAAATACGAGGTATTTCCTCTATGCATAAAGCACAAGAAACAACTCTGCTATCGGGCAGTCTGCACGCAGCAGACACACACGGGCAAACCCTGCAGTCATTGTTCTCATTTGAAAGGATAAAAATCAAACAAAACAGCATTTCCTACTTTGCAAAAAAAAAAAAAAAAAAAAAAAAGCCTAAAAATAAAGCATCCCCGTTACGGCTGAAGGTCCCAGCTGGACATCAGGGACACAGAATTATGGGGCTAAAACGAGCAGCACCAGTGGAACCCTTCGTGGGTGCCCGGGGCTGCGAAACCCCACCACGTCCATCCCTGCCCCATCGGAGCAGTGAAACCAACCCAAAAGTCACGTATCCAGCTTCCCAGATGTGGCCAGCAGCCGGAACCAGCCCCGACGCTCCATCCACCACCCCCCAAACGCTTCCAGCACGAAAGGCAGCGGGAGGAGAAGCGAGTGCCGCGGAGCACGGGCGGCCGGACGCAGTTCACTTGCATCCCCTCGGAGCACCCAAATCCCACCCTCGCTGAGTTTTAGACCTCACCCTGGGGGCAAGAAATGCACAAAACGGGTTTTCTTCCCCGTTTCCCGGTCAGAGCTGTGGCAGAGCGGGTGACTGCTCACGTTCCACATGAAACCCACGCTCTCCTCACCAACGCCGGAGCAGCAGCACCCCACACGGCTCCCAGCGCTATCCCAGCTCAACCCAGCACACCTTCCACCCGTTAAACCCCTGTGCACCGAGGTGGGGCCGGAGCCCCGAAACCAAAGGGCAGCTCCAAAGGGTGGATTCAAACAACGCACGGCATCAATTCGTTAACTTGGATCCCTTTGAAACTCAACCCCGGAGCGGCTCCTGCCAGCGCCGTCGGAGCTATCGCGACGGGAGTGCCTGGTGCTCAACAGGCCTGGGGAAAAGGCTGGAACTTACAGTACTCCAGGAAAACCAGTACAATCCACAGGGAAAACTCCGGGATCCACAGTTTTTTCTCACCACAGCTGAGGAGAGGAAAAGCAGGATGCTCCTTGTTACTTCCAGTTGGGTTTTTGCACTGTCATCTCATCCAGTTTTAAACAACAAGGGGCAAATCTGGAAGCCCGATTTCCTACAAAGAAGAAGGGGGGGAAAAAACCACCCAGAAAATAGGAATATATTTTTTTGGTCAGATGAGCAATAATTCAAACCATAACAAGCACACAGTAATGACATTTATTCTATGAAATCTACTCGGGTCCCTTTGCCTGCAGCAAACTCCCCTCTTGCATTTCATCAGCGGTTATTGCATTAGCAGCTCCCTTCTAGAGCTTCCCCCCCCCAAAGGGGGATAACTCAAGCTGCTGATGGCGGCTTCTTTGGGTGCCTGCACTGCAGAAGAGGATGAAACTTGGCAGAAGGACCCTCACCTACACCCGCCTGCAGCGCCCGGGCACAACTTATCCCTGGGGTTTATTGTTGGAGAGAGAAATTCCCGCTTTCACCTTGGAAAATCCATCTGGATGCAAGGGAAAAACTGTCCTTATAAACCTGACACAGAGATGGGGGGGAGAAGTTGTATTTAGGGTACATTAAGAAAGGGAAAACCCTCCCAGAGCCGCACTTGGACGTCGCCTTTGCCAGGATATTCAAATTTCCTGTACAAAGCAAGTCACCAGTACGGGAGGGGGGAGAGGGAAAAACAGCAGAAACTGGGTGCGAGTTGGTACCTTTTTAATGCATTTTAATTATTTCCACCCATTTTTTTTGCTTTATTTTCGGTTATACTACTATTTGTTAACGCATAAAACTATTTTTCAGGTATAACGCTGTATGTAACAGTACAGTGAAGCCCTGGGGTGGAGCAGGAGCCGGTGGCCACCGAGGCCTCCCGGTTTCCTTAATGAAAAAGAAGGAAACGGGTAAAAAACGGCTTTAAACGGGTAAAACCGCCGAACCCCGAACCCCACCTGCGGGGGGCGGGCGCGGCTCCCCCAAATCCTATTAAAACCATGATTACTAATGGCAAACCCATAAGGAAAAGGCGTCCGGGGGGGGTCGCTCAGCATCCACGTGGGAACCGTCCCGCTCTCGCCCTAACGGTCCGGGGGGGGGGGGGGGGGCACCGCCCCGGCCGCTCCCGCTGTCACTGCCGCTGCGTCACGGGCCTCCGACC